CTGAAGAAGGGTCTAGGCCCGAAATGTCAGCTTTCCTGCTCCTCTGACGCTGCTTGGCCTGCTGTGGTCATCCAGCTCTACACCTTGTTATCTCAGATTCTCCGGCATCTGCAGTTCCTACTCCCTTTAAACCCTTGCTATTCTTATGCTTACGCAGATATATACCAGCCTCCACCACTCCCTCTGGCATCTCATTCCATACACACACCCTCTGCATGAAAAAGTTGCCCCTTGGGTTCCTTTTATATCTTTCCCCTCTTAGCTTAAACTTATGTCCTATAGTTTTGGACATCCCCCACCCCAGGGAAAAGAACTTGCCCATTTACCCAATCTATGCCTTTCATGATTTTATAAACCTGTATAAGATCACCCCTCAGCCACCAACACTCCAGGGAAAATATCTTCAGCCTTCTCAGCCTCTCCCTTATTGCTCAAACCATCCAATCCTGGCAACATCCCTATAAAAAGTATTCTTTTGTTGGATGTGAGTTCCAGGGATATGTTTGTTCTCAGGTACTTACTTTGCTTTCTATTAATTTGTCGATAGTTATTTTGGCTTCCATCAGCTGATTACATAAAGTGATGACTTCATGGCTGAGATTTCTCTTTTCCTCTTCATGTAGCTCGACCTGTGTGTACATCATGAATTCAACCAAATGTTGCATAAGATGGATCAATTACTCTTTTTGAAATTTACGTGTAATTTGCAAGGTGTATTTCAAAATAACGGGTTAAGCAACAAAATGACAGTGTTGCATAAAATAATGCACATTTTTCATTGACAGGAGATTAATTTTCAAGTATTTAAAGTTTAAACAAATTATATTTACAATAAATTAAACTACTACGGCAATTCAAATAAAATATATTCAAATAAATTTAGTTGGTATTGTATTTATATCTATTTGCTAAACATAGCAAGGTAGGAACTCATAGGAACTTCTTGGGCTGAATCTTACCATTTTTTGGCAAAGTGTGAGTAGGGTTGAGCATTTTGGAGGGATTCTCACTGTGAGGCCTAGTGAGATGCCTCAGTATATTGTATTAAACATACTTCATTAACTACCTACCCCACCCAATTGTGTCCCTCAAATACGTTTCTATCCCTATCTTACCATTTGCCCTTCCCAGAACAATTTGCCACTTGGTGGCTACCAGCTGAAAGACCAACATCCATTGCACCCTGCCATCTTTAAAGGCTGCCGTACATCCATAAGGGCACTGGCATTCTAAGCAGTCCTGCTCAGTCAAGAACATTTCCCAAAGAGGTCTGAGAAGGAGAAGGTGACACCACAATTCTCCGACAAGGATATCCAGATCCTGGTCAATGGGGTGCAACAAAAGAGAGGAGTCCTAATCCTGGAGGACCAGAAAGGAAGCTATGCCATGAGACCCTGGCAGCCTAGTCCAAGGTCACCTCCAAGATCAGTGCCATCTCCATGGTGCAGAGGAACAGCCAGCACTGCCCAAAGAAGGTCTTCTCCCCTCCATCGGGGTAAGTTCCATATGCTTCTCTCTGCTCCCTCACACTCACTCTCTCTCTCTGCTACTCTGCCCATCTCCCACCAAAGTTCATGCACTGTCACTCTCACACCTTTCCTCACTCACTCTCACCACCCACCCCGCCACTGTTAGAGAATTGCGAATAACCAGACTGCAGCTGTCAGACTTTGAGGTAAAGAGCACATTTTATTCGTGATATCATCGAGAGTCAACGCTAACAAAGTACAGCAATGCAGAGTTACAGGATATTTATAGAAAGAGGCAAACAAGTCAATGTGACAGATAACGTGATCTCATAGTCCAAAGCTTAATGTTCTCCAGAAATCTCATCATCTTCCTGAGCTACAGGCTTTATTCTTCTGTTAATGTTTAGCTGACATGCACTTACCCACCCGCCACTAACTCAGCATGGCCAAGCATGCTCCCTACCATCTCATTCAGAACACTTCATCATCTTTCGCCACCCACTTTCACTGCAACTTTCACAGTAACCCCGCTGCCAGTACTTCTAACCATTGGCCTGGCACTTCTTTCTCTCATGCCTTGCAAGTCCTGCCAGCATTTCCAGCTCCTCTGCAGTAAAACTGCCTACTCCCCGCAAAAACACATCCTCAACCTCTTGGGGTGACAGTAACAAGGCCTTAGAGGAAGCACCGGTGAGGCTGCCCCCTGCTCCCCCACCAACAGATACTGATACCTTGGCGGGGGGAAACGTTGAAGTATGTAGGAGCACAGAATGGCAAGGGCCTCACAGTGACATTCAGTAGCTGGCTGAGGAAGGACATCCTCAGTCCACTGACTCCTGGAGGAATACCCAAGACTGGGCATCTGCTCACTACCAGGCAGGAGGGGATCCTGTGGCATCAGCAAAGAGGGATTTTGTCCACTGGCACAGGGAAGAACAGGAGCAGCTGACAGGTATGTGAGGCACAAGGCCCTCACTGCCCAGATGCTCCTGCAGTGCAGACAGTGATGTGACTGTCTGACGGCGTCTATGGCCAGGTTGGCAGCTGCCATGCAGACCCAGGTGCAGCACCGTCAGAGTCTGTTGGAGAGAAGTCCACACCTACACCCCATCCCTGCTCCCCCTGGCCACTGGTCTGCGGGATGGCCAGTATGATGACAGAGGGAAGATTAATGGGAAGCTACAGAACCAGGAAGCCCTTAAAAACCAGCAGAGGATAACAAAAAAAAAGTAATAAGGGGGGAGAAGACGAAATATGAGAGTAAGATAGCTAGTAATATAAAACAAGTTGGCAAGAGTTTTTTATTGGATACATAAAAGACAAGAGCGAGGCAAAAGTAGACATCAGACTGCTGGAAAATGAGGCTAGAGAAGTAATAATGGGGAACAAAGAAATGGCGGATGAACTGAACAGGTACTTTGCATCAGTCTTCATAGTTGAAGACACCACCAAGATAACAGAACTTCAAGGGAGTGAGGGGCCAGAGGTAAGTGTGGTGGCCATTACTATGGAGACGGTGCTGGGGCAGTTGAAAGGTCTGAAGGCAGATAAATGAAGAATACAAAAGCAGAGATGTACTGCTGAGTCTGTATAAGGCTCTGATCAAGCTGCACTTAGAATATTGTGAGCAGTTTTGGGCCCTGTATCTAAGGAAGAATATGCTGGCATTGAAGGGAGTTCAGAGGAGGTTTACAAGAATGATCCTGGGCATGAAGGGCTTGTCATGTGAGGAGCAGTTGAGGACTTTGGGTCTGCAATTGAAAGAATTTAGAAGGATGAGGGAGGATCTGATTGAAACTTACAGAATACTGAGAGACCTGAATACAGTGGACCCAAAGGTACAGCCTCAGCGTAAAAGAATGACCCTTTACAATGGAGATGAGGGGGTATTTCTTCAGCCAGATGGTAGTTAATCTGTGGAACTAATTTCTACAGAGGGCTGTGGAGGCCAAGTCATTGAGTGTCTTTAAGACAGAAATAGATAGTTTCTTGATTAGTAAGTGGATTGTGCATTAGGGGAGCAGGCAGGAGAATGGGGTTGAGAAACATATCAGCTGTGAGGAAATGGCAGAGCATGCTCAATTGGCTGAATGGCTGAATTCTGCTCTGATATGGTCTTATGGGCCAGGGAACCTGGCTCACACTCCAGCCCCTTCCTCACAAGGAGATATGGCAGAGCCGGGAGGCACCCAGCTGGAGGTCAAACCACACATAGGCCCCTCAGAAGTCTCCTCTCAGGTCATTCCAGACAGCGTTCCACGTACACCCTGCCAGTCTCTGACGCTTGGAAGGTAATGCTGAGGACAGTCAACTTGTCTCTGACAGAAGCATCTCAGTGTGTCTGTGCCATTCAGACACAACCACCCTGGGGTCACCTGAAGAAACCTTCAGGCCAAAGGACTCCACTGCAAGCAGGGAACCTCCACCCCAATTGTAGAATGGGTACAGCCCTGAGATATAGTGGGAGAGAAAGGAAGAAGAAAACTTATTGAGGGCATTTGGGTGGCACAGGTGGCAATGCACTGAATATAAATTTGCATTTTTAGAAAAAAAAATGATACTGTTTTGACCTTATATCTAGTTATTTGTCTCTGTGTGGTCCTGAATATCACTGCTACAGCATGAGGCTTAACTTGATATTCACGCAGGATGTACCTCGGAGTGGTGTTTGTGTTGAGAATCTGCTGCAGTATCTGGAACAAGATGTATACAGTGTATTGGGTCCTGCTGCCTGCATTACCCCTTGTCTGTAACATCCCTATTGTCTCCTTGGCCTCTGTGTTTAAAAGTGTTGGTGAAATGAAGTGGTCAGACTTAGGCAGGGAGGAGCATAGCAAAAAGGGCCAATGCTTGCCAGTATTAGGAACCCTTTACGCTTGACATGCACACAGCCTGGGTTCTTTCACATTGAACATCTTCACATTGATGGCCAGGGGTTCCAGGCAAGAGGCTGCAGTGTTAGTGCATACAGTAGGCCATTTCAGACTCGAATGAGGAATATGTTTTCATTGAGACAATAGTGAACCTGTGGCATTCTCACCCATGTTTCTATGCTTTTGATAGACAGGAACCAGAAAACAAAAGGCTTTAATAGTAAAGTAGCAAATAACTATTTAGATGCTCAACCGAACATTGATTTGTCAGGTTACCATTATTTCACTTTAAAATTTCTTAAGGAACTGACAAAGTTGCTCCTCAGTAACTTTCTGCAAAGTCATCATATGTGATTCTCTCCATTACTGTCTTCTGAGACACACAGCGACCCAGGCTAATTTTTTTTCCACTGAACTCAAATAGTGTCATAGAGTCATACAGCATGGAAAGAAACCCTTCGGTCCAACTCACCCACGCCAACCAGACATCCCTCTCTGACCGAACTAATCTCATTTGCCAGCATTTGGCCCATATACCTCTAAACCCTTCCTATTCGTATACCCATGCAGAAGCCTTTTAAATGTTGTAATTATACCAGCCTCCACCACTTCCTCTGGCAGCTCGTTCTAACACGCACCATTCTCTTCGTGAAAAAGTAACTCATAAGGTCCTTTTTAAATCTTTCCCCTCTCACCTTAAACCCATGTCCTCTAGTTTTGGACTCCCCCACCCTAGGAAAATGGTTTGGCTATTCACCCTATCCATGCCCTTTAGCATCCGACACTCCAGGGAGAAAAGCCCCGGCCTATTCAGCCTCTACCTATAGTTCAAACATCCTTGCAAGTTTTGTCTGCACCCTCTCAAGTTTAAAAACATCCTTCCAATAGAGTGGTGACCAGAATTGTATGCAGTATTCCAAATGTGGCCTCATCAATGTCCTGTACAGCCTCAACATTACATCCAAACTCCTACACTCAATGTTATGACCAATGAAGGCAAGTGTGTCAAATGCCTTTGAAATAACTCCACAGAGGCTGGTATCCCATTACCAATTCAACTTTTATTTATTTGTAGAGAGTCCTTGACACTGATCCAGCTCCCTCAGAGCCTGTTCTCAAAGTGAACAGAACCTCTGATACTCCTGTTTATATCTGTCAGCTAGGGTTCCCTGATTAGACCAGATTAACAGCCCCAAACAGGGAACTTATATTCTCTGAGGTCCATCTGGCTGACTTTGTTTCAATCACTACAGCCTTCTTCACTACCCTGTCTACCTGCAACTCCATTTTCAAGGAGCT